TCTACCCCAAAGATTTTGCCTAAGTCCAGGAAAAGAATATAATACATAATATACAAGATAAAATACATAAAACAAATACAGAAGAATAAAAACAAGACAAATACATAGAAAGGTTAGCCTAACTGATTCACCGGGTAGCAAATGAACCGATAATGGACAACTTTCATTTTATGACGTAACTAAGTTAACTGTTGATCGAACTGAAAGCCAAAACGTAAATATTTTCCTTGTAAAAGCTATTTCTTTGTTCTGAAAGTAAACAAAAACCGATATTGAAATGAGCGAAGAGATTTCCGTTTTCTCATAAATAGACGAAGCAAACTTCGTTACGTAATAGAATCGGGTGAATCTTTTTCCTTGCTTCACCCAACTTATGAGGAAAATATAAACATCGAGCCGAAACAGTTGAGGAGCTCCTCCCCGGATGGAGCCGGAACCGTGGTGGCTCAGGGGATAGAGTGCTTGCCTTCCAATGAGGTGAACCGGTTTCGGATCCCAGCGATGGCTGGTCGATACGAACTCCGCACTGGGCTCGCACCAACCACAGTGCTGACATAAGATATCCTCAGTGGTTGACGGATCTTGGGTTAGAGTCCCCTTTTCGTCAGGCTAACAGTGGGAGGTTCTCGTTGTTTTCCTCTCCGCTCAAATACTGGTTAGTTTCATCAAAAAGTCCTTTATGAAGGCACCTTTCTCCCAATACTTAGTCCAGGAGTTTCTTTGCAGTCTGGACTGGGTTCAAAATTGCAAAGCTACGAAGTTGAACATTAGTAGTCGTAAATCAAAAAAAAATTTGGGTCGGCTGTTCTACGGTTATAAAATAAAATAAAATGATAGAGGCAAATGTTTACATCGAAACAGTTTTGAAGCTCTGATCAACAAGCGTTAGCTACTATGTGCTTTCCTCCTTTTCAATTCTTATTATCAGCATTATATAATGCTGCTGTATCCACCGTATTACTAGTGACCGCGCTGTTACAAGTGACCACATTATCACAAGTGACCACGTTTCATTTGAATAACCCTTTAATTTTGTAAAATAGTAGCTTTACCTAAAATCAACTGTGAAAAATAATTTTGAAAAAAATTCTTTTTGTTCTATTTAAAAAGATTTTTTAAAATAAAATCGAGGAAAGGATACCATACAATATAAAATGTTATAAAATTATTAAAATTTACGATTTAAAGAAAAAAAATATCAGCACAAATTGCATTTAAAAATATATTTGTCATATTCGTAAGAAATATATTTCAGTAGAGTAAGAATTTTTTTTCTTCTTCAGGTCAGTACGATCCTAGCAAAAGCCCTAATCCAAAGCAACAGCTACATGTGACGATAAAAGTAAGAGGCGTCAGTCACGAGTTCAAACCCCACTGTCATTGCCAGACTTACATATCTTTCTTTCTTCGTAGGTCATTAGTGCCCAATTTTTGCCAAAACCAAATCAAGCATCTGACGGTGAGGTCGTGGATCCATATGTCTCCATAAAAGTTGTTGGACATCCCCTGGATTCGCAAAAGACCAAAACTAAGTTCATCAGCAACAACGGTGAGTTTCTTGAACCATTCAAGTATATAACGATAAGAAAACTAAGAAAAATTCTCATTGCAGAACAAAAATTTAGAATCTTAAGAAATCTTTTTATGGGTATATTTGGTCGCTGTAAAATTCTTGTGTTCTTTTTAGAAACCCGAAAAAATATAATTTCGTAAGATTAACAATAATTTTCCTAAACAAAAACCCATACATTTCTTTTAATGAACACAAGAATTATCTACTAACTCTTGTCTTCTAATTGTCAGGAATTGTCTTCGAATGTTTTAATTTTTTTTCTTTTTAAAAAAATATATTTCGTTTAGTTCGAATCTACAAACGGAAGCACCCTATTTATTGCTTAATTTAATAAACGTTTATTCTGTAAAAGCCGATAGTAATAATATAATTGAATAGCTACTGTGATAACTGATCAGACTTCAATTAGGATGATGAATGGTCACGAGCGGAATTACTCTAATTAACGCTTATTTTAACATCCTATTTGCTGTAAAAGCCGATAATAATATAATAGTATTGCTATCGCTATAACTAATCGAAATTCAATTAAGATGATGAATGATCACAAACGGAATTACCCTAATTAACGCTTATTTTAACATCATATTCACTGTAGTAGCCGATAATAATATAATTGAATAGCTATCGGTATAACTGATCGGAATTCAATTAAGATGATGAATGATTACAAACGGAATTACCCTAATTAACGCTTATTTTAACATCATATTCACTGTAGTAGCCGATAATAATATAATTGAATAGCTATCGGTATAACTAATCGAAATTCAATTAAGATGATGAATGATCACAAACGGAATTACCCTAATTAACGCTTATTTTAACATCATATTCACTGTAAAAGCCGATAATAATATAATTGAATTGCTATCGGTATAACTGATTGGAATTCAATTAAGATGATGAATGATCACGAACAGAATTACCCTAATTAACGCTTATTTTAACATTCTAATAGCTGTGAAAACCGCTAATAATATAATCGAATCGCTATAACTGATCGGAATTCAATCTGGTTGATGAATGAACACGAGCAGAATTATCCTAATTAACGCTTATTTTAACATTCTATTCGCTGCGAAAGCCGCTAATAATATAATCGAATCTTTATAACTGATCGGAATTCAATCTGGTTGATGAATGAACACGAGCAGAATTATCCTAATTAACGCTTATTTTAACATTCTAATCGCTGTGAAAACCGCTAATAATATAATCGAATCGCTATAACTGATCGGAATTCAATTAAGATGAATGATCACGAACAGAATTATCCTAATTAACGCTTATTTTAACATTCTATTCGCTGCGAAAGCCGCTAATAATATAATCGAATCGCTATAACTGATCGGAATTCAATTAAGATGATGAACGGAGGTTTTTTCTTTCTAGGATTCAATCCGACGTGGAATCAAAATTTAACATTTGTGATCAACGCACCAGAAGAAGCGATATTCCATTTTCGAGTGAAGGATGAAAACCTGACAGGCAACAGCCTCATTGGACAGTTTGCTCTGCCCTGCACATCCATGGTGGAAGGTAACTATATGAGATCTCTTAAATTTTGAAATCAGCATAAATTTCAAGATCATAGCCTTTCAAAATATTCTGACACATTTGAGGAAACAGCCAGTGCCGTAACTTTACTCCTCGGGGCCCTGGGGCAAACATTTTTGGCGGGGGCCCTTTCAAAAACTTTCAGTACTCCATCTCTAACTGTCATTTTAGCTATCTATGTATTATGTTAGTGAATATATTTATGAAAACAAGTTATTTGTTCGCATATAAATTGGATTACAAAACATTGTGAGTTTTAAACATGACAAAATGCAAAATTTCAGCGAAATCGATTAATCCTGAGAAATTAAATTTTAAAAAAGTCGTACTTATAAAACTCGATTTCTCAGGAACTAATGCACTATTCAACCAATTTCGCTCAAATTTGTTTTTTCCATGTGGAATTAGATACTTTAAAATGATACAAAAAAAAAATATATGCCTTACAATTTCAAAGTTTTCAGAATATTATTGTCCCAAAGGGGACTGATCGTTAAGACACGGTTCCTAGCAGATCACCGAAGTCAAGCATCACTGGCTGCGGTCAGTGTGCGGATGGGTGACCACATGGGTCAGTCTGCGTAGGGACCGAGGGTGCGCGGTATTGGTATTCGTTAAACTGTTCGACGATAAAGTGCTCGACTTCGGGTGCAG